CATCCAATCTTTTTTTAAACACATCCAGGGATGGTGACTCCACCACCTCCCCGGGCAGACAAGTCCAGTACTTCATCACTCTTTCCATAAAAATCTTTTTCTTAATATCCAGCCTAATTTTCCCTTGACACACCTTGAGATTGTGTCCTCTTGTTCTGTCAGTTGCTGCCTGGAAAGAGAGACCAACCCCCAAGTGACTACAGCCACCTTTCAGGGAATTATAGAGAGTGAGAATATCACCTCTGAGTCTCCTTTTCTCCAGGCTAAACAACCTCAGCTCCCTCAGCCATTCCTCACAGGGTTTGTGTTCCAATCCCCTCACCAGCCTTTTTGCCTCCTCTGGACGTGCTCAAGTGTCTCAAGGTCCTTCATAACCTGGGGGGCCCAGAAGTGGACACAGCACTCAGGGTGTGACCTCACCAGTGCTGAGTACAGGGGGAGAATGAGCTCCCTGCTCCTGCTGGCCACACAATTCCTGATACAGGCCAGGATGCCTTCTTGGCCATCAGGGCACACACACACACTGCTGGCTCATGTTCAGCTGGCTGTTGACCAGTACCCCCAGGTCCCTTTCTGCCTGGGCACTGTCCAGCCACACTGTCCCCACCTGTAGCACTGGGTTGTTGTGGCCAAAATGCAGGACTTGGTACTTGAATTTATTAAACTTCATCCGATTGGATTCTGCCCATCTGTTCCAGGTCTCTCTGCAGAGCCCTCCTACCTTCCAACAGATCGACACATGCTCTCAGCTTAGTGTTGTCTGCAAATTTACTACTCTATTGCATGGGGAAATATTTCTTTTTGTATGTGTTGTTTTCTTCCACCCTTTGCTCAGTCTTTTCCTTAGCGGGAATTATATACTCTGAGACTAGACACTATTGTAATAGGTCAGCACTAGAGCTGGTGGTGTTTGATGGCCAGTCAACAGAAGTATGTAATTTCTTCTGGTTTCTCTTTATTTTTAAGACGTGTGATCCTTAAAATATGCTTAAAGAGAAGCATGAATTTCTTTGCACTGTAAGAAGTAAGCGAACTTTCTTTACAACGTTTTCAGATGGTGCAGGTGTGGGAGTATTTTAGCATATTTGACACGTTTTATTACACTTAGCATTTGACAACAGAGAAGTGTAAAATAGCTTGGTATTTTTCTCACTTTTTGCGTGGTGTCTTGTGACGTTTAAATTATCTGGTAAAATAAGCTAATTCCTTTCCAGGAAATCAGCCCCCAAATGAGTAATGGATAAGCATGCTGCTTGCTTCTGAGCACGCAGTTATGTCTCAGGAGGTTCTTACGTTGTCCGCTGGTTGTACAGTGCATATGTTTCCAGTTTCTGACCGTGTGGAACAATGTGGGCTTGTATGAGAGTGTGGTAGCAGCACAAGTTAAAAGCAGTGAAGGAATACTTGAGATGGGAGATGTTGCAGCCTGTTCAGCGTCTCACTGCTGTCTGCCTGCTGGGGTTTGCTGTCCACATCTGTTTGCTCAGTTGCTCTGTAGACATATCCAGGCTTGCAGGTATTCACTGTTTTCACTTGGAAGCTGAGCAAAATAAACCTTTTAATTTTTTTTTTTTTTAATTTAAGGTGGTTTAAGCTGGGTTGGCTGATGTGACCAGTATGAGCTGTACTTGTTTGCTTGCTCATGCTGTAGGAAGGGGTGCATGAGCAGAGACCTGGATTGTGTGGAGTTGTCCTACTCTTGCAAAAGAGCAATATGCAAATAGTGCAGTCATCCAGCAGATGGGTGGCAATGAAATATCTGAGAGATTCCAGATACATCGTGGGCTGAAGCATCTGAGATACTCCAGCTGAGTCTGTGCATTGGAAGCTTCCCTCTTACTGATGAGCTGGAAACACATGCTTAAGTATGGCTCTGACTAAAAGCTGTGATGAATAATGGATTTAAAATCTTGCATAATACTCTCTTGAAAGCTGACGTGCAAGAAGTTTGGGAATAGTGAGACAGCAGTATTCGTAAATGGCATGACAAATAACACATTTGTACACAAAGACCCATGTATAAATGTTAGGTAATTGGTTGTATATGGTGTGAAAACTTTTGAAAGTGCTCTGAAGCAAGCTGGAAAGTAAAATATGGCACCATTCTGTGTACCACAATGCAATTGCAAAAGTGGGAGGTGTTCTTGTCAGGAGGAGATGCCCAGATCATGAGTTCCTTTAGGAGACCACAGCATAGGTACAGGTCAAAGGGAAACATGGGAAAATTCAGGTTCATAGGAACTTTCAAGCAAATGTGGTATTTAAATTGTTCAACAGTTTTGGTATTTTGTTCTGCATTTTACTCTGTAAATGCATTTGCAGAGTAAAACTTGTGTTTTATTTGTGACATACAAACTGTATTCATGCAGCCAACATTCTCTGGGGCCGTACAGACAATTACTATACATGCTTTTGTGTGGTGCTTTCTGAAGGCTTCCACAGAGTGGAAATAAACAAGCCAATAATTCGAATCAGATTATCAGTCTGTCTTTTTCAAAAAAAGCTGGGAGCTGCTCTACAGGATAGAAGAGATCCTTTTTCAGCTAGCGAATTTCAAATAACTCATGAAGAGGGAAGGAAGTTTTGCAATGGTTACTCCTGTTGTAATAGAAGACTATATGGTGAATCCTTAGAAAGTGCTGAGTATCTCCTTATTGGCTTAGTTTAATTATTTTTATTTTGTAATGGGTAAGACAGCAATTCTGCCATCTCTTTCCCACCCATCCTTGGGGTGACCTGTTTTTGCTTGAGTGGGATAGTTGAAAACCTTTTAAAACTGCCAAAATGAGGTTTGCAAAGCAGGATGCTTTGTGTAACACAAAATATGCTTGAAATATGACACAAGTGTTTCCAATGATTGCTGTGATGAGTGCTTTTTATTTGGTTTTTTTACTATTTCTTTAGAGGTCTGGCAGTACTGTAGGAGGCCTTAGTGGGAAGAATTGTGGGAAAATTATTTTGTAAAACTATTTCAACTCTTCCACAACCAATCTGGATTCAGTTGATATAGCTGAGTAGTTGAAAAACTTTTTAACTAACTGTTGCTATTACTGTATAATGAACACTGTAGTAATTTCCTCAGTGTCACAGACAAATATCCTAACTGAAAAATTAACCGAGTTTAAGGAGTTGAGGTTTCAAACCATTAAAAAAAATAATCTCAATGCTGGATCAGATTTCTTAAAATGTTTAATTAAGAAGCTAGTCCAGCATTTGTTTAGCTAGACATAAATACTGTATTTGAATTAGCTGAAAAGCTCTATCTCTACCCAGCTTTTAATACCACATCTAAAGCACAGAAATTAGTTTCACTGCTGAGAGATGATAAGCTGAGTGTAAAGGCACATGAGGTTAAAGCAAAGTGTTCCACAGTGCACACAACAGATTGGGCAGTTAAGTTTGAGAGGAGAGGATTTGGTTTGCCAGAGAACAGAAAGGAGAATGCTGAAAATTAATTTGTTATAATGAACAGGTGCAAGAAGCACTTCTGAAGGACTTGGAATAATTTTTGCACTCTGGGATAGCTACTCCAGTTAATGTTTCAGTGGCTTCATTGTCATTGTGCGTACATCTGGAGATGCATTGTCTCCTGTGAAAGGGTAATCCAGCCTGTTCAATAGTAAGAGCTCTTTTTCTTTGAACAGTGAAGTATCAGATTTTGCAGCATGTGGGACAAAAGGCTCCTTTGCTTATTCTCCGAATAAGATTAGTTGACTCATTTGTCACATTTCTCCTTCGTCAGCATGCCTGACACTTCAGAGTATGGCTCAGGCTTCCCTTTGTTAATGGAAGAGAAAGAGGATCTTTATACTCTTCTATTATCTGTAGTTTTTATTTTCTCTGCACTTTGCTGTTTAATGCACATGACTTATGCCTAAATCCCCTTTGGAATTTAGTTTCAAAAGTTAGGTTTCAGTTAACTGAGACTTGAGCATCCTTCTCAAATAAATTCATCTATAAGAAATGCTAATCGTAGTTAGGAAAAAAAAATATGACAGCCTTGTGAATACTCTGTGCAACACTGTTGACTAGAAAACCAGAGAAAACAGTCAAATACAAGTTTATCTCTTAAGCTAGACAAGTGTGGTGGGTTAGAACTGGTGATGAGGATGGGCCAGGCAGTGATGGTGCTGGTATGCTTTCCTCTTGGTGTGCTTCAGAAGAAAGATGGAAACAATACTGGTAGCTGAAATAAAGGTAGCACTCACTTCTAGGCAATAGGTGCAGAGATCTGGAGCAGTCATGTTGCTTCCAGGCTTTGTGTCCAAACCAGGCATCTCAGCACAGAAGAATCACAAGGTTTGCTGAATAAGAGGTAGGTGACCTTCTTACAGAGCCATTCATGATGCAGCTTTACTAGCAGTTAAATCTTGCTGTCAGTAAATTAAGAGTTTACTGGCTCTGTGCACCTCAACTTGTTAAAAGTGTTGACTAAGTTGCATCAGCATGACTAGAAATGAAATAGTATTTGGTATTTTAATTTAAACAGCTTTTAAGACTTCCAGTGTGGAAGACAGGCTTGTCTTTTTCAGCTTCTTTTCTATAAGGGAAAGTGAGGAATTTGTTCAGCTTCTGTGTACAGAAAAAATACGTTTACACATTGTTTGCATAACTGTGGGGAAGCAGGGGTTGCTAGCTTTCTCACTGTTCATCTGATTTCTTAATCTCATAATACAAGTTAAGTGTGAAAATACTTTGTGAAAAACACCCACTGGAACTATGAAGAAATGGTCTGTGCTTTACTGGGTTCCCATACCACATGCTTTTGTGTTTAATTTTGTTGAATACGCATATGCTATTGTTCCATGCAGTTATACCATGGCAAGTGACCAGTAGCAACTGAGTAACAGATACTTTGTAAATAGTCACAGCTTCAGTGGCTGCTCTTGATACACATGGTTTAAAATTGCCTTTTGTTGCTGTTACTTTTTTTGTTTTATGCATTTTGATCTGATTTCTGAAAGCCTGTCTCTTATTTTTTCCCTCTGTGTGTGTTCCAGTGACTTTATAACATGCAAGGCACTGATACCAGGGGGAGCTCCCCTGCATTCCTCCGTCCTCAGAATGGGAGCAGTCACAGGTCCTCGGGGTACGTCCCCGGGAGAATTGCCCCTCTCCGTCCCCCGCCACCTTCGCAGAGCCATGCTGCAGCAGAATTTACCTCGGCGAGACAAGAAGCCCAGACAAGACTCGCATCCTTACCAGTGGAGCAGCACCGCCGACAGGCAGAAGCCAACAGGCATAAAAATACTCTTATTTGCTCTGCCATTTCTAGCCTTTCACTTTTTGTTGCACTGGGAATTTTTTTGGGAATAGCTTCAAAATATGCTCCAGATGGTAAGTTCATTAAGGAAATCATCCTAGAAGTTATGTTACCTGTGAACATAACTCAATAATTCACTATCAGGATTAATGTTGAAAGCTAATAGGGCACTCACTGTGATTTTAATATCGAAGGAGGCAGAGATTGGGGGGCAAAGATCAGCTCCTTTTTTTGTTATCAGTGTTGTTTTTATTACGTATGGTTTGATTTACTTACATAAACCAGAAAGGCATAGCAGTAAATAAAGATTACTGGTAAGGGGAGAAAGAGGCATGAATGTTTTATAAGCATAATTATTTTTATCTGCAGAAGCTGTCTCATAGGTTCACAAATTGTAGACAAAACTAAATCCTATCTGTTTGAGCAGTAACTGAGGAAGAAAGTAAGAAAATGTTAAATTAAAATAATATTAAAATCTCTTAGAACCTGTGCTAATAGTATGTGTTTGTTTTGTTTATATGCAAATTGATTAGGGGCCTTTTTTGCTCTATTAGCCCCGATTTTTTTGTTTTCAGCTCATTTTAGAAAACCGGGCAACTTTTTTGGAATTTGGAGAATCTCTGAAGTGTGTCGGTGGTTGTAAAGCATTAACAGGTTATATGATCACAAAGTGTACATCCCTCTAGCCAATTACTCCTAGAAGATGCTATGAGGTGCAGTTGCTAAAAATTGGTAGTAAAGTTTGGAGAGTGGGTTGTTTTAGTGAGTTTGGAGTTTTTGGCTATTTTTAAGGCAGCAGTTAGGTTTCTAAAAGCTTAACAAGATTTTGAATTAAAACTGTTGGCTGCTGTAATAACAGACGTTCAGTGGCTTTTGACACAGTAATTAAAAACAAGCTGTTTCCAAAGTCAGTGCAATGCAGGCTGAACATATCAGATAACTAACTGAGGATTTCAGATGACAGTACAAAATAAATGCATGTACCCAACTGAAGTGCTCTTGGTGGTGGTTTGCTGAGATTTCCTGAAACTTATGAAGAAAAATAACAAAACCTTAGGGACTAGTAAATGGAAGATTATTCCTCTTGTTATGATACACATTGCTGCTAACAGGTACATATGCAGTAAGCATTTTCATTACAGACAAATTCCAGAGGAGACTGGAGGGTGACTTACCCGGTTAACACTCTGAAGTACTTTGAAGTGCAGCCAGGCTCTTCTTGGTGCTGTTGTGCAGTAAGACAAGAGTTAATAAGAAGCTCCACCTTAATATGAGGAAGAATTTCTTTACTGTGTGAGTGACCGTGCACTGGAACAGATTGCACAGAGAGGCTGTGGAGTATCCCTCACTGGAGATACTCCACAACTGTCTGGACACAATTCTATGCAGTGTGCTCTGGGATGACCCTGAGGCTGTGGTCCCTTCCAGTGTATTTATTCTATGATACTGTGAAACCCTGACACAAGAGAAACTCCTACTGACAGTAAGGAAAGCCTGGCTGATGTTTTAATCTTGCAGTATGGTTGTCACAGAAACTCCCCAAAAGTTCCCCAGCAGGTTGAAATTTTAATGTGCATTAACATGTGCATAAGAGCTCCAACCAAGCATGTGTAGTACTGCAGCAAACACCACCAGCTCCAGTTAAGTGTACTTTTCTTCAGGGCTAGTTGGAAATCCATATTGTCAGAACTTTTAATGGCCGTTTAAAAAGCAGCGGAAGAAATGTGACACTTGGTAGTAAATGTACGTAAATTCTAAACTGCCACTGTAATTTCCCCAAAGGGAAGATGCTGCTTGTCAGCATTTCTGTTCATGCTTGTCAGCTGGTTTCTTTTTGCTCCTAGCTTCTGTATTCCTGACATCTACTCCTGACTCATCTACAGAGTCCCGAACACTGGAGATCAGGGAGAGCAGTGGAAGTGCAATTTCCTTCCCCATTTCCCCAGGCTTCTGATGTGGGGTCAGAATGACAAGCTAGAGGGACAGGGAAAAGTTCTTCGCTCTTACTGGACCTTGCCAAGGGGATAAACAGGACCCTCAGAAAATTTAGCTGCCAAAATCTGATAAACTTCTGAGCATAATATAACACTGATAACTTTCCCAGAGGCCTTAAAAATTCCAGACATGGTGTCTAAACAAGTAGAAAATAACTATTTAGTTGTATCTGCAGAATTGTTCCCTGCCTGTCTTTTTCTCCTTTCAATTTCATGTGCTTGCTCCATGCAAGGTTCTAGCATTGGGATTTTTTTTGGGGGGATGTTTTCTTGTGGGTGGGATGGTGTACTTTTCCTCCACCACTTGCAGAAATTTTACTTCTCCCCCCAGCTCTAATAGAAGCCACTAAACCTGAAGGAATGCTGACCCATTTTTACAGAAATGTTTTGAAGCGGAGGCTTGACTTGAAAAATTTTCAATATGAGTGGCTAAATTTGGCAAGGTCAGCACCTAATGGTTTCTGGTCTTCTGTTTTTATTTAACTTTAAAGGCAGTAACTGTTTTCTGTAAAGTCTACTTGGTAATTTTGGAGATAATATTTGATGTTTTCATGCAGCCCACCATAATTGCTAAGAGAGAATTTCAAAATACTTTTGCTAAACACATCTGATCTGCTTGCCAAAAAAGTTGACCCACTGTGCCCCAAAAGCATGTTTATGCTACAGGAGTGCCTGTTTTCTGAATCTGATGGCTTTCTTGCTGGATTGTAATGTACAATAGATTTTAAAATTATAATAATTTTTAGTTACTGTTTTATACATCTTCTTTCTGATTCAATAGAAAAAGATATGATTGCTAGATCGGCTCTTCTGTGAATCACACTAAGCAGAAGTCATCAGGTTGCTGACTCATGGTTTCCTCACACTGCCCTTTGCTAACAGCCAGGAAATAAGTGTTTCTTCACAGTGCTTGTGTGTGTAGTGTCTGGGGAAAAGGGATTAGGGATTCTGCATGAGTCAGGCAGTAAACTTGTCTTTATCTGGTGAGTGCTTAGCAGTCTTGCTGATAGCAGTTCTCCCTGCTTTTTATTATATGAATTACATCTTCTAAAACCTGATCTTCATAGGATCATCCCAAAAGATTTTATTTTGTTTTTATTTTCATAATACTGCTTGTATGCCTTCTGCCCTTTCTGCAGTTTGATAATTTTTTCGTGCTGGTAGTCAAATCTTGGTTTATGTGGCTTTCCGGAGTTGGGAGGGATTTGAAATGTGGAAAGTTAATACCAAAGGAAAAACATTTCTGTTAGCAAAACTAAGGCTGGCTTGTATTAAACTTGTGGATAGGTTTTGGTTTCTTTAGATATTGCAAAAATGGACTATTTCTGATGGATTTTTGCCTCCGAAGTAGCAGTTCAGAAGTGTGGGTGTGTTTCTTCAGAAGACAGGATATGAAAAGACTACTTTGGTAGTTGACCTCAGTTGGCCCGTTAACATGTTTATTTTGGCAAATTTTGATTGTCTTTTGCATAGGAAAAATATTTTTAATACTTTAATTTTTAATATTTATTTTTAATTTCTATAAGATAATCCAAGGAATATACTTTGCAGTTTTTATAGTGTCTGTGTTTCCGCATTACACAGGCACTTAATGTGCTAAAGAGGTGTGTGGTATAAATACTACATTGCTTTAACTTTGTCTGAAATCACACAAGCCTGTCACTTCTTGCTATTGTCTCTCCTCCTCTGGCTTTGTAGCTTGGTTTCTAGCCTGGGTACTGCCACGGCTTTCAGCAAAGACTGTGTGTATCTCTGCTCTTGTGTAGTTTGTAGTCTAATATTTAAGCTGACTTCCTAAGGGATACAAATGTTTGAGACCCAAATGTCTCATCTCCCGGGAAACTGCTCTAGCTGATTAGGTTTTATACTAGATATGTTAAAGGTGTCTTGTCCCTCTCACTGAAAGAATTATTTGAATGCTTAAAAGTAGGAAGGAATCAGCCTTTCTGACAGGGTTGATAGCTTGAGGAGGTGAGATTCTTAGATGCTTTACAACCATGTTAACCTAGTTAGCTGGCCTCAGGCTTCCAGTGCTCAGTGTGATTGCTCTCTGACTGCATTCTGCTAATCTCTTCTCATCTAGTACAGGTGACCTAGCAAATAAAGAGAAAAATAAGATGGGGTTCAAGAGTATCTGTGATCAACAATGTGTGGTCAATAGTAGTTCAATTCAGTAAAAGAATGCCTTCCTTCCTTGAGACTTTAGCTATTTTTCAGGTGTCTTTTTTGCTATTCAAATACAATGACTGCAGTATTGAAAGCACAGAAGAATGTAGGCATCCTCTGGGGGTGACTGATCCTTTCTTACTTGTGTTCATCGTACTGCTGCCTTGACTGATGTAGTGATGTTTGTTTTTTAAAAGTTGGATTTCACATTGTATTGCAGAGAACTGTCCTGATCAGAACCCTCGCCTTAAAAACTGGAGCCCTGGAAAAGATCCTGAAAAAAGAGTTATTATTAAAAAAGGGGATTTGTTTCGTCTGAACTCAGATGCTACAGTACACTCTATAGTTATACAGGATGGAGGTATGAAATAGCAACACCTTGCTTCAGTGTCCTGTATATTTTTTACTTCTGTGACTGCATAAAAATATGTTGAAACTGTATCTTGCAGCTGATTGACCAGTTATGCTTTTTTACTTTTCAGCCTGCTGCCACGTCAGGTATATCATTCAAAAGATGAATTCTCTATGATGATACTCTAGTATCTTTTCAGTGCAGCATTGATGTAGTTTTCTGTGCAATATAGGAAAACAAGGTTGTTTCGTAGCCTGTGTGGTACTCAATGTGTCCTCCAATGGTAACTGTTGTATGTTAGTAATCCTACCAAACAGGCAGAAAAAGAATAGGAATAAACCAGCAAATTCTTAGAAAGATAAATCACAATTGGTAGCAGTTACTTTCCCATATGTGTAAGATTATGTGTAACATATGTAAGAAATGTATGTAAGAATATAAAGCTTAATTCATGGGTGTGAAAAATAAATCTGTAATTTTTCTTTTGTTCTTACTGCAGAACTTGGTTATTTAAGTCTCTCTGAATTTTGCTTTGATGTACTTTTTTCCTTTAGGTTTACTTGTTTTTGGTGACGATAAAGAAGGTTCTAAAAATATTACCTTGAGAACTCGATTTATCCTGATAAAGGATGGTGGAATGCTTCATGTTGGAGCAGAGAAATGCCGCTATAAATCCAAAGCAACTATTATTTTGTATGGAAAGTCAAACGAAGGTGCTGATGTGCCAGAATTTGGCAAAAAATTTATTGGTGTGGGCCCTGAAGGAGTGCTGGAGTTGCACGGGCACCAGAAGGTATCATGGACTCTTCTATCAAAGACTATATATTTCTCAGGGCTGGCCTATGGTCGTTACACATTTAAAAAGAATTTTTACCGAGGACTAAATGTTAGAGTGATCGATCAGGATACAGCAGAGGTTTTGGAAGTGCTGAAGTTTGATACTCATGAATTTGCAGAGGAAAGCTTAAAGCTCCAGAACTTACTGAAAAATGGGCATCCTGGTCGCATTATTGCTATTGCTGTAGGAGATTCAGCTGCTAAAAATCTTTTGGAGGAAACCAGAGTGACTATTCAAAATCTTCTGGGAAGTAAGTTTGTGAGAGGATTAAGTTACAGGTAAGCAATTTATTTTCCCTTTTGTGCTGAATATAGATGATATGCAGATTCTGCTGTGGGAGATTTGTTAAACTTCGACAGTTCATAAAGTTTTCCAAGAATTCTTGGTGTTGTATGTAGTGCTGCCATGATAGTATTCAGTTAGCAGTGCCATGCAGAGACTGGTATTTGTGTGACAGACTTTTTTACTTAACTCCTGAATCCTTGCTTTTGCTGTTCTTTATAGAAATTAAAACTGGGTACAGCAAGAATATTTTTCTCCTTCTAAGACATAGATAATAGTTGCTAGGTGAAGCTTTTAATTTGTATGACTTTGAAAGAACAAGGAGTAGAGCTAAATTATCTGTAAGGTTTCTTCCAACCTAAAACATTGTTTCTAAGGGATACTAATCCCAGATATCAAAGATCTTATTTATACTCCTGCACTGTTGAAATAAAAGAACATCACCTCTCCATCGAGTTCTCAAAGGACCTGACCTGTAAAATTATTTTGTGATTGAAATTCAGTTACAAGGTGTTTCTATGTCTTTTTGCCATTCTTTTCAGTTGGTCAGGATTTGGACTGTGCGACAGTAGAAGTGGTGTAACAGGAGTTATCAAAGCAGGAGACTTACACTGCTCTTCATTGCTCTTCAATTACTTGTTGCAAATGGCTTTTTGCAGTGCATGTTCTGAACTTGGCTTTGTGCTGCAGAGGATTGTCCACACTGCTCTGGGCAACACAAAGCAATGTGCCCAGGTGGCCAAGAAGGTCCTGGCTAGTATCAGCAATAATGTGGCCAGCAGGACCAGGGCAATGAAGCCACACCTCGAGTCCTGTGTCCAGTTCTGGGCCCCTTAGTACAATAAAGACTGATGTGCTGGAGTGTGTCCAGAGAAGGGCAACGGAGCTGAGGAAGGATCTAGAATGTAAGTCATATGAGGAGCTGCTGAGGGAGCTGGGAATGTTTAGCTTGAATTAAAGGAGGTTCAGAGGAGACCTTATTACTCTCTACAAGCCGGGTGGGGGTCAACCTCTTCTCCTAAACAATGAGTGACAGAACAAGAGGATGTAACCTCAAGCTACATCAGGGGAGGTTTACAGTTCAACATAGGAGGAATTTCTTAATGGAAAGGGATATTAAGTATTGGAACAGACTGCCCAGGGAGATGATGGAGCCACCATCCCTGGAGGTGTTCAAGGAACTACGAGATGTGGTGCTTAGTACTGTAGTCTAGTTGACAAGGTGGCCATAGATCAAAGACCAGATGTGATAGTCTTAGAGGTATTTTCCAGCCTAAATGATTCTGTGATTCTGTGTTGGCAATACAAGTGAAAAGTATATACAGTCTCCTAACTGCCTGTCAGTCTGTTGTTCTTCTTCTATTGGGATGGTGTTGTATAACCTCTGTGTATTGTCCAGTGTTTTCCAGGAAATTGGTCATTTGATTTTTCCGTTCTATTCTTATCCCTCACTAGCCCCTGACATCTGGATTCCAGTTAGTTTCCTCCCTGTGCTTTGGCAGAGGCAAGCTGGCGTGTCAGGCAGGATGGCATGTTCTGACCTCAGTTCCCATCAGGAGTACATTTGTGTCACTGGCTGTGTAAGCACAGGGGTGTGGGATGAAATGCACTTGCCTTTGAAGCAGTTTGGCCAAAAGTGCCAAGACCTGGATGTCCTATAGTAGAATACCACTTCCTGAAAGCAGCAAAGCCTGTGTGGCTTCAGATAGCTCAGGTTGTGGTGCAGCCAGCCCAGCCTGTCCTGAAAGGTGTTGGTTTCTGGGATTTATCTCTGCCCATGAAGTCCACACCCATTTGTCTGAAATGAAGAACATTTTCAGCCTGTAACTGGGCAGAAGCAGCCTTTTTTCCCTCTCTGCTGAACTGATTCTTGTAAGCTTTCCATGGTCATTAAAGGCTCTGTAAGCACATAACCGTCTCTGTGGTGGAAATGGGCAAGAAGCTCTCCCTGATGGCGTGCTCAGGAAAAGCAGAGTCATTTTCTTAAACCTCTAAAGCTAGTGAAAAGATGTTGTCATGGAGGTGAATACTCCATTACAACTCTCTCCGCTTCTACTTCTTCCTACAACATGTGAAATGCAAAGCATGCTTCAAAATAACTATTTTAAATGTTGGTATGTGAAATGTTCAGTTTGTTTGCTGCTGCTACTAAAAAACTGGCCCAGTATATACTATTCCTGTGAACATGCTAATGCTAAAGTATTGTTTGACTTTTTGATCCCAATCAACAAAAACCTAAAGAAGGGTTAAAATAACGGCAACTGGATTGTAGGTGGGTTTAATATCTGCCTTTGAATCAATCATTATCAACAGACTGCAGTCCAGCTAGCTGACACTGTTCTCGCTTGGGGTGAATGATTCAACTTTAATGATGCAAAATTGTCTGGCTTTTTAATAGATGATCTCGACTGCTTTCTTTGCACATGGTTATGGCATTACAGAGCAGTAAAGGACAGCAAAATAAACTTGGTTTTTTTTAACTTGGTGGCAGCTGTCTGTGGTGCGTTGTTTGCTTTTAATTTCCAAACACATGTCACTGGTATATTGTACAAAGATTGTGTAACAGCATGCATTTCCTTTTCTGGGTCTGAGCATCCTGAAAGATTCAAAAGCTATTGCCTGTCTGGCACAGGGGCCAGCACCAGTGACTGTTGCTGACTGTGTCCATCCCTCCTGGCCTGGAGTTCCCCTGGAGTCCTGAGTGCTCCTTTGGGGTGTTGCTGGCAAATGGCAGGGGGCTGTGGCAGGAACATTGGCACTGACTCCTGCTCCTCCTGGGCCCTGCTAAGGCTGTTAGGGAATAGGATCCTGTGTGGCTTTTGTCACACATCTAGCAATTTGCTTTGGTAAAATTGTACATCTTGTCGGATATTTACTAAAAATGTATATGAAAGTCTTCCCCAGTAAGAGCTTTTGTATTTGCCAGTTTGTGTATAGGACCCCCAGTTACTTTAAACCATTTTTCTCTGCTGTTACTTCTGTCCATTTCCTTCTACATTTTGAAGTTGCATTTTAAAATGAATTTGGAAGAGCAAGCTAAAGGTTTTTTATTACTTCTATGCTCCTTGTCTTTTCCTGGTTTTGTAAAGAATTTTTAAAGGGCCATTATATTTAAACATTTACTTTTGATTTTCACAGGCAAGCCTGGGCTTTAGTTGGTGTTATAGGTGGTGGAAATTCTTCCTGTAATGAATCAGTGAGAAACTATGAAAACCACAGCACTGGTGGGAAAGCTCTTGCTCAGAAAGAGTTTTTCACAGTGGATGGTCAGAAGTTTGTTGTGAGAGCTTACAGCGAATGGAATGATGGTAGGAAAGTGTTTTGTGAAATCCTACAGTTGTGGAAAAAGAAAAAATACTTTATGTGCTTTTTTTCACTAGAACTTCTGCTTGCAATTTAAATTTTTGAGTGCTGCTGTAAGTTGTTTTTTCTTGCTATGGATGAAATAGGAGGATGCATTTCTTCAGTACTACCTATTTTCTCATTCTGTATACAGTATGTGAGCAGCATAATATTGAGCCTTAAATTCTAGTATATTTAGATGAAGATAGGAGTCTTATAAGTTCTGTCACTTTTAAAATTTATTTTTGTAATTTGGAAGTTCATATATATTTTAAATCTAAGCTTCTGAGATGTTGATTGTGGTACTAAAAAAAACACTGCAGAAGCCAAAAGAAATGTTTTATTCTTGTTACAATTTTTGGTTGCTGTTAGGGTGCTGAACGCTAGGCAGCTGTTCTGATGCAAAGTTGAATCCGTGGTATAAAAAGTTAGAAGACCTGCCTCTTGCTTGCTTTTATCCTTTATTATTTTTTAAAATTTAAGATACCATTGATCTGAGTTTTTATGGGTAATCATCTCTTTCCGTTTTTAGAATTACTAAATGCTACTGTGTTTTCCTCAGAAATTTTTTATGGTAGTCATAAATTTGTTTGCTAGGCAGTTGAGATATTTGGTACTACTTTACTGTTCATTGCAACCCCATGAACATGTATAGAATTACATTAAAAAAAATAATGAACCAAAATACGTCTTTTACCTACTGGTGCTGGAGAGTTAGGTTCAAGAGTTAGCAAAAGCAACTGAACTTAAGCAAATTCATCATAAGCCAATGAAATTCTAGTGGGTGCAGTTTAGACTGCCAAACTGTTCTATTAGTTGTGCTTAAAAAAGAAAGTCCTCTGCTTTTTTTTACCACATCCTTGATTACATCTGCACAGTTTAAAATGGCAGAAAAAGGTCACTTTGAGGTAGCTGGACCTACAAATTACTGCCATATGATACTAGGGTTTTTTGAAGAAAAAAAAAAAACAAACATAGATTATTCCAGTCACTATTAGTTCTGTGTTTTCCCTTTGTTTTGTGATCCAATAAGTAAACGGGCTGTAAAGGCATCTCACAATGGCATGTTTGAGGTCAGAGTTGTACTTCAGAGGGCTCTGGGGCCTGCAAAATCTCATACGTATTTTATTAGTATCTTCTTGGGAATTATTTCATATAAAGGTGAATATAATCTTTATTTCCTTTTTTTTTTTTTTTAATTAGGTGTCCCGATATCAGGCTTCCAGGTGGAAGCAGTGGGTGGAGTAATACTGAATCTTCTGGATGATGTTAGTAGTTGGGAACCAGGAGACAGGATTGTGGTTGCGAGCACAGACTATTCGATGTATCAGACAGAGGAATTCACCCTCCTTCCCTGCCCGGAGTGTACCAACCATCAGGTTAAAGTCAAAGGTATGAGAGCAGTCACCATGTGGAGATCTGTGTGAAATATGTATTTGCTGCTGGACAGGCTCTTGCAGTGGAAACAGTAAAGAGCAGCCTTTTTTTGAATCACTATATGGCTTTGTTGTCACATACATGTGTAATTCTCCTTGCTATGAAATGACTCGGTATGTCAGGTCTACCTCATAGCTCACCATGCTAACTTTTATTTCTTCCCAGGTTCTTTGAATGCCTTATTTTTTTTCCAGTAGGGTTAGGCTTGTTTTCCTTCCTCAGCTCCTTTCTGTCTTTTCACAAGTTCTCTTTATACATGCTTGAATAGCTGTTGTGGTCATTACTTGTTTCCCTTGCCTCTAGTGTCATTCTCATATTTTGAACTGTTACCATTAAAATATTTTTGGTGTTTCTTTTGTTATTAAAAAAGTAGAAATAAAAACAGGAAGGGAAAAAGAAACTTTTGGTCTTTGAACCTGTACCTTTTTCTTTTTTTCTCCTTTCCCTCAGTTTTCTTTTTATCACCCCCCCAACATAATGGTTATACAAGTGGCCCTTCCAAGATTCTGCTCTCACAGGATATCCCTGAGTAGTTGCAATCTGTTTTTCCTTTGGGTGTGATGCACAAGTAAATGGTCATTCATGTTGTTGACCATTTCCTTTTTATTATCTGAGTCATTCTGCTTGACATCATGAGAGCCTCCCAGGGGACTGGCTTGCCAGCTATGCTGGCGTCTCTTGTTTCCTTCTGCTCCACACCTGCTCCATGGTGCTGCCCTTCCCTGTGGTGTCCTGCAGCTTCTGGTCTGGAGCTTCTCCTCACTCCTGGTGGGATGCAGCATCAGTCCATACATAGCACAAACTAGCAACTGTTGTTCTGCAATGTTAGTTTGCAGCAGCTCCTGAGTGCTCTTCTCCGTCTGGTTTTGTCCCATTAATTTCTGCACAGTGCAACTTCCTGCTCTTCAAACTGCTCTTCTTCTTCATTCTTGGAAGTTTTCTGTCAACAGCCTCAGATTTCCCTGTCCAGCTATGCCTTAAGGGACTGCCAGTCTGTCTGTCCTCTGGTGGTGAAATTTGCTTCTCACACATTTGTTAGCATGGGTCACATATGTTTTATGGATTGAGAAATCTCAAGTATGAAGAAAGCATATCCGTGTTTACCACATACCATCAGAGAATACCAGTTTGGGTGACGATGTAGAGCTAACTTAGTGCTATTGAATGTGATACTTCCTGGGCTTTGTTCTTAAATGTCATGTTGTGTGTTTTATTGGGCACAGTGTTTTAAAGAGCAAATTTAACTGGAAGGCTGCAGTATGAAGTTTAAGAAGTTTGTCACCACTGAATAGTGTGTGTGTAGACTATTTCATCTTGGAAATCATGTGCTGTGAAAAAGCAGCTGCTTTTAAAGGTTACAAAATTTTTTCACAAGATGTACAATATGGCATAAAATACAAAATCTTGGCTTTTTATTTTTATTTTTTTGAAAGTAAATCCTAGCTAAATATTAAAAAGATACTAAAGGAAGTGAACTTCCAGTCAGCTTTCTCAATTGGCATTCTTTGCCACCCTCATTATAGTTTTCTTTGTCATAGTAATGTATACAGATTTTAAACATCCCCACGTTACCCTATATATTTATTTCACTAAGAAGAAATTTTCTATATAATGGTAAACTTGACATGCTGAAGAACATACCATCTCTTGAAATTATTTCTAGCATTGTTTTGCTAGGGGTTTTGCTGGCTTCACCTTTCTTTATTAGGAAAACTAAAAAGTATTGTGTTGTAGGAGCCTTGGTTGCTCTTTCTGCACTTGATTTCTTGCGTTGCTAGTCAAATACAGGGAAAAACAATAGGCAAGCCTTTAGAGAGAGGAGTGCAGTCCCATTTACAGACATCTCTTGTCTTTTTAAATTCTCAGAAGCAGATACAGTGTTGGTATTGCTCTTAGTTCTGCTTCAAGTTCTGGTAGTTTAGGCTTATATCCTTTTTTTTAAGACTTGCAAGGATTGTGATAGTCTGTATTCAGGATATCAGTGAATGCATAATTGCATTTTTTAAGGTTTACAGAACCACGTAATTTTCTCAGTTTCAATGAGAAATTGATTAGGTTTTTGAAGAAGGGTGTAAAACCAGACTATCTTCCCTAATTTTGAGTTTATACATCTTCAGAATAACTACCTAAGAAAGAGGAAAGCAAGTCCTTTTTTCTTTTAGGAAAAGATCAATACAGCATTTCCAAACAGTGTTTTGGCTTCACTTTCACTTCTTAATTTGTCTTTGAAACAGATTAAGCAGCCAGAATCTTTTTTCTTTTATAGCAAGTCTGCATCTCTGTTTCACTAAAAGTTTGATAATTTGATTAATTTAAGCTCTTGTTTTTTTCCCATTCTGTTCACAAACTATTGGATCAAAACTATAAGGCACACCTGCAAATAAAATGTTCACATTTTTTGAGGATTAGTTTCTTATTAAAACGATAAATACATCTACCATAAGAAAAGCTAAGAGACACCAGCATGTTAAGGAGGAATGTGCAGTTTTTGTTGCCACAGTTATCTTTCTTACTCATATAAGTTGATTCTGGTTTTAATCAGTGGTGACTTTTTTTTCTTATTTTTTTCTCTTGCTTCAAAACTTGTTGTTGGACAGAAAACCCTCAGTTTCCTCATGTAGGAGAAGTAATTGATGGAGTGGACATGAGAGCAGAAGTTGGAGTTCTTACAAGAAACATCCTAATACAAGGGGAGACAGAAAATACCTGCTATCCTGAAAAGGACTGTCAGTTCTTCAGTTATGATACATTTGGTGGACATATCAAGGTTTGAAAAACATCTCCAATTAACTTTCTGTCATGTAAAGGCATATTAAGGACAAAAAGATTAATGTTTAACTTCAAGGGAAGAACATCAATTCATTCAATTGCTTTGTCTGGAAATGGCTTACTCAGATTAGATTTAACTCCTCAAGACCTAGTCTGCAGAATTGAAAGAAGAGATATAATACACAAACTGTTCGAGAAACGTCCAGCAAGTATTATAACATTGTATGGCAGGGATTAAACAAGTGACATCCATGCATGTGCACCCTTTAACATTACAGAATAAAGCTTGATCTCTCTTGTATTTCTCTTCCTTCCTTCCACTGCCTTTGTGCCTCCCCAAGTGATGAGCATTGAATCCTAATTCAGCTTTCCCATCTGAACCTGATTACTAGAGAGGCATGGAGGGGGAAGAAACTGACTTGTACTATGAGGTTTTGCATTTAGTTTCTTAACAATTGGAAAGTACTAAGGTTGTATAAAGGAAGCTGCTTCTAATTTCTTGTATTATGAACGTAAACAAAGCTGAGAGAAAGGAGTGTTCTAGAAACTAGTATTTAAACTTGTGTTCATTTACATCTTTAGATGAAAGATTTGAGCAGCAGTGTTTCACTGATGCTAGAGAAGTTTGAGGCCTCACATTTTAATTGCAAATATAGTTGTGCTCATTATGTGGTCATCACAGTTTAAATCTCTTTGTAATGTATTTGGATACAGATTTTAATTTCATAGTGGTGGCCATAAGAGTGGGAAAGAAAATTAGCCCTTTCCTAATATGTGGCAGCTTTTGTTTTATGGAAGAAGATAGGTAGACTCAAGATGTCAAGGTTTCAAGATAATGTAATGAAAGAAGATAATGACAAGCTTTGAATCTTGATGAATTTTGCTGAGTGTGACCTTGATTGCCACAAAAGTGTAAATAAGCAGACCATCAGTTGTCTGGAAAGTAGAAGAGAAAACAAACATTTTGACTCACCAAAGTTAAATTGTTCCCAGGAGCCTGAGTAGCGAGTATCTGTTGCCAAACCAAGACTTCAGCACTGAAAGTATTTTTGGTTTATGCTAATCTTACATTCTCAAGTAGAGAGATCCTAGGCATTAAGAAATGTAATGGCTTTTGAATATCCTGAATTTCCTACTGGACATTAGTTCAATAGCCTAAAGGGGGCTTAGTGGCAGTGAGGAGAGGCATTGTTTTGCAGTTTTGGTGCTTTTCAGTAGAGATTAGGAATGCCTAAAAGATTGGATTTTGACCATCCCTCTCTAGATGTTAGGTATGCAAACCCTAAGAGTTCTATTAAAGGAGGAGGAAAAAAATATCACTGATTTCCCTATGAAAACTGGTATTTCTGATAAATACTCAGTGCAGGTAAGTTAATGAAATTAAGTTACCAAAAAAAAGAAGTAGGGTTTGTTTTGGTTTGGTTTCTGGTTTTTTTTGTTTGTTTGTTTGTTTGTTTTTTAACTCAGGTTAGCTTGTTGCAGTTTAGCTGTTGCACTTGGTTTATGCTTTCATAGCAGGTTAGGTGGAAGAAAATAATTTCTCTCTCCTGCATTACTGGTGCAACCTCATTATGACTTTACTTCGTACACAGTAACTTTATTGTGAAGTTGTGTGAGGATAATTTCATATATTCCTTAAAGACATTTCTCTGGAGTGCAGTGTCCAGTTTTGGGTTCTCATTGCAATGAAAATGTAGATGAACTGGGGTGTGCAGGAAAGGTGGTGTGGCAGTGTGTGATGAGTGACAGGAAGCTGGAAGGAGGGATCTTGTTGCTGTCTTCAGGTGCTGGCGAGGGTTCAGAGTGGTCACAGCAGTTCTTGGAGGTGCTTAGCAATAGGACAAGAGGCAATGGGACCAGGCTTAAAGAAGGCAAATAATGCTACCATACTGGGAAAATAAAGGGATAGAACGATTGACCCCATGAGTGTCTGTGACTGGAGGTATTCTCTGAGCAATGTGCTGAGCAGTTGTTTTATCAATCTGACCCAGCACTAAGCTCTCAACTGGACTAGGTTTCTCAACAGTTTCCCTTGAATCTGCATTGTTCTGTGGTTTTTATTCAGCTAAGCCTGTCCCAGGTGGATTGTGCTGATGCAGCTTCATTACAGACACACCCAGATGTGGGTGACTTCTGTTTGGTTGGACAGTACATGTGAGGATATTTAATGTGTCACCTGGTAAAGACCTAACAGTAAAGTGTGGCAATATGTCTGGTGTAAATTCCTCTGCTGTAGCCACATGGAGATTTAAATTTTGAACTTATTTATGAAGGGTACAGTTTTGTAAGGCATCTTGTAGAGCAGGGCAGTAAAATTGGTTCTTGTGTTGGCCTGTGGCAACTGTGTACATCTAGCTTCTGTGCGTCTGGGATAGATGATGTATTAACTTTGTTTTCATTGGTTAAAAAGCAAATAATGGGTTATTCACTCTGGTGAATGGTTATTCACTTCATTTTTTTTTTTTTTTTAAGATTTTGAAGAATTTTACATCTGTTCACCTTTCCTATGTGGAATTGAAGCAAATGGGCCAGCAGCAGATTGGAAGTTACCCTGTTCACTTTCACCTTTGTGGGGATGTGGATGAAAAAGGAGGATATACTTTTAAAACTTATCTGGAAGGCCTTTCCATTCATCACTCTTTTTCCAGATGTGTGACTGTTCATGCAACTAATGGCTTGCTGGTAAGTGCATGGAGAGTAAAACATGTTACGTTGGAATAAATATTATAAAGAGCATTTAGATGCCAGAAGAATCCCATCTCTTCTTCAAATTCAATGCTCAGCGAGGGTTTTCTTATTTCAGTGGATTAATAAATTACTGCAAACAGTAATTTAACTGTTCTCACCATTCTGTTTTTTTCAGATTCTTACAGCAGCTAGCTGTAAGACAGCTGTAAGGCAGCTAAGCTCTCCAGACATAGCAGTGTGTTTGTAAGGGATGAATAAATCTATGTGCTTGAATCATCTGAGCTGCTGATACTGACACTTCACTCTGCAGCTGTGCCAAGATAGTAAAACTAGATGGTGCTTGTCAAATAAATCTCAGTAAATGCAGTTACTGCTGACATAATGAACTTGTATTCCTACAGATAAAGGACACCATTGGCTATGACACACTAGGTCACTGTTTCTTCATAGAAGATGGCATTGAGCAGAGGAATACTTTGTTCCACAACCTTGGGCTAGTCACAAAACCAGGCACTCTTCTACCTACAGACAGAAACAGCAGCATGTGTATTGGGATTAGGGATAAGGTGTATGGAAGTTATGTCCCAGTGCCAGCCACAGACTGCATGTGAGTATGTCGTGATGAAAAAGTAAAACCCAACCAGCTGATAATCTCTTGATTATCATACAATACAGATGGAAATACTGATGGAAAACATTTTTATCTAGAATTTAATGAATTAATTCACATAGTACTGGTATTTTAAAAATAGCAATAGAAGTAAACATTTAGTTTTTTATTAAAGAAAACAAATGGTTTATAGGAATATTGTTGTTTCTTGTGATACTTGGAACCTTCAAAGTCTGTTGAACATCTTCACTACTGCGTAAATGTATGCATATTCTCAAGTTGTCAGCACTATGTTTTCTGAATACTACTTGTTTCTTGTGAAAACTTCTTAAAACAGTTTATCATTGCATGGAGTATCTGCACAACATTAAATACAATATTGTGCACTGAACTGAAAAAAAGGCATTTTTGAGTTCTAGATGTGGAAGGTTTTGTGATTTGTATTTTGAATGTGAAGCAGTTACTTCATCAGTTTAGCTTTTCCTGATGTGCATATTAAAAAGGGAAGATACTTCTGTTGGAGCTAGAGGTTTTCTGTAGTAACTTATTTCTGAATAATATTGCAGGGCCGTTTCAACATTCTGGATTTCTCATCCCAACAATCATCTTATAAATAATGCAGCAGCAGGCTCACAGGTAAGGCTTATGGGTGTAATTAACGACAAATTGATTATGTCACTGGCATTTGTAAAATCTGTAACATTTACACTGCCAGATATATATATATATTTTTCTTTTCTTATATTTGAATATTTTTATGTTTGGCCGCATATTGGCATTGAAAGTGCAGGGTATGTCTAGGTGTGCATTTAAATGATGCCAAAAACCTTTGTTGTGGCTGCGACAGAGGAGATATCTTCTTTGTATTTAATAGACCTGACAGTAATGTCAATGTAGAAATGTAGTGTATATGTAGAAATCCTTTTATTTTCACAGAATTGGTGTATTTCATATTAAGTCTTCTATATTTTCTGAAGGTTGTAATGAGTTTAGTGACAGTTCTGCAAGAGCTGTAGTCACTGGAATGAAAAATGACTGCAAAAAAGCATTCATTGTGTAAGAAGCAGTTACAACACTTCTGTTACTGGTTAGTCAATTGTTTCCAGCCAGTGACTGCTGATGTGGTTTTGCTTGTTCTGAACCTTGTATTAGTGCAAATATCTTGTCATAGCTTCCTGTGATATAAAGATCTGATATAAAGATGCTGTGGAGGGGAGGGCTGGAGTCTGTTTTCTATTGGATCAGAGGCTGAGATATGTAAGGTTTTTTAATTGGATTATTCTGAAGAGATCAGTAGGAATGCAAAACAGAAAGGTTGTTGATCGTTGTTGCAAAGGCTCCAGTGTAGGAACAATGTGAGCCTGTGTACTTTTAGCAACAGATAACATTTATCTGTAACTGATAACATTTATATAATTAAATAATTTCTTTATTAAGAGGTAACTGTTATTAATAAATAGAATAGGATTCAAAATACTTAACTGAGTTGAAATATCTGGAGTATTTAAAAAAATCAGAAAATTTTGCTCTATTTTTTGTGTGATCTCATTCTTGTTGCTTTCACTTTAGTGGGTTTGCTTCTGTTTGTTTGTTTCCTACTTGACTGTCTACCACTAGGAGGGATCTGGACTCACCTCCCAAGTTAAAACAGGTCTTTTCTGTCCAACACAATGTCTTTCCATTTTGCCTGCTTTATGTAATATAACTAGTTTAGGCATTGCAGGCTAAGTTAAACAACTTCTTTGCTTCTTTAATCTGGTGCTTAAGTCCTGCAAAGTCTTTTTCTGCTTGTGTAGCTCATCCCAGTAGATGTTGCTTCCTTTTGTTAGCAGGATGTGCCTGACTGGAACAAGCATTTGTATCTTTACAAAGTTTAGCCACGCTGATATAGACCCTTGCATGGATGTAAAATCAGTATAAAGGGACCACAGCTTATTATTTGAGAAATAGAATAATTCAACTGTTCTCATGCAGACTCTGCACTATAGAGTTTTTGCTGGTATGAGCAATTCACAGCCAAATAATTCCATTCTTCTCCCAGTTCCTTGGTTATGTAATGAAGCCTATTGTAAGGCTGTATAAGCAGTAGATGTTTTGTTTTGGTGTATATGAGAGAAAAGAGGAAAAAAAACCCCAATCTTTTTCATATTTCTGAATGCTTGCAGATGCTTAACAAGGTTTTAAGTTTATCTAAGTCTATTTTCCAAGCATCAGGGGGTGCTTTGGATAAAATTTGAGTCTGCCAAGCACAAAGCTGTGCTTAATTATATGTGAGGTAAGATTTTGGTATTTTTATTAAGGGAACATCCGTATTTGCTTTGTAATGGTTAATCATCAGAAATATCAGTGTGTCATCATTACACACTGGGATGGGGACGTTACTGTAAAGTAGAATTTCCAGCACTCATTGGAAAATTAGTATAGTCTTGGAGTGAAATGCATTAAGGTGGGATGAATTCACTTTATCCATATTTCTTAAAAAGGTTGATGACTATTTTTTGTGAGGTGGAGCGCTCAGTGTTTCTTTAGCTACCATTTAATCCTTTAATGTGCTTTTGGGGGTGATTTTTTTTTTTTTTTTTTTTTTAATTTTTTAAGGCACACAGCCTATGGTCAGGTAAAGATTTTGGTGTTTGTACGTGTCTCCAATGCAGATGTCGTGATGCCACATCTTGTGAATGCAGATGTAGTTGAAATGGAAATTTTGTGAGTTTCATTTAGCAGACAAATCCAGCTTCTTTAAGAGCAGAGATATTAAAAAAGTATAGAAAATGAACAGATACTAAAATTATTACTGCATGTCATTGGCGCAGTGCGTTGAACCGACCACATTGCTTGATGTGCTTTTTTTCCTATCTTCTGAAAGCTCTTGAGGGTGTTTTTGGCTATGCCATTTAAATTTTGATGGGAACAGAGATGTACCAACCTTAACGGAACAGTAAGGATAGGAGGAATGATTTTGAGTATCTTACTGTGAATAGTATTATCTACTAGTAAATGAAAATCTAGTCTGTGGGATGACATAACTGAAATGCAGAAGTTATATTAACTTGGACACTTTTCTACTTTGAAATATTAGAGCATCTTAAATATGTGGTGTTGAATGGCTTCACTGAGAAGCACAACACTTTTTAGTTGATATGTCCACTAGAATAGAGCCTTATTTGCAAAATCCCGCTTTTTCCCTGATTGATTCAAAGTTGTTGTTTGGAGACTTTATTTTAAAATATATGTTAGCGCCAATAATAGTGTCACAATCACTTATAAGTAATATTATTCTCTCATTACTTTCAGGATGCTGGAATATGGTATTTGTTCCACAGGGTTGCTACAGGAGATTCTCATAGTTTAGCCATCGAAACCAAATCAGAGCTTACACCCCTAGGAATCTTCTATAACAACAGGGTTCATTCTAATTTTAAGGTAATGTAGTATGTTATTTAAAAAAAAGTGAAGTTTTTATTTCTCAGTATTCTGTATTAGAACTTGGTTGTTCGCCTTTTAAGCTGGGTAGGAGATAGATTTTGTGCTGTGTTTGAACTGTACTGTAGAACAATGTATAATCAGCATGGGTGCATTTTCTAGTTGCATTTTGAGTATTCACTGTTTCAGCTCTTCTTCAGATAAAATAAATTAATACTTCTAATAAAATACGTTTTTCAGATGTAGCATTTCAAATGCTACTCTTTACAGCTTTATTTCCTACTCCGAAGAAAGCTGACCCTTGAAGAATGGAAGTTTATTATAGCAGTGATTCACCGAATAGCTTGTTGCAGTAGCTACAGCTTATTTTTCTGAGTCTCAGGTGTTTGCACATGGTGATGCAGTCTCTGGCTAGAGATTAAGTTTTAATATTGCCTTCAGGAGCTCACTTATTTGCAAATTTTCTTATGGAGTTCTCAGTCTTCAGTCATTGAGGTGTGTTTTGTTAGTGTGACTTTAAAACCATTTCCACATCTCAGCTAAAGTTTCAATTCACCTTAAGTCCTTAAAGTATTTCATTTGGAATCGAATTGCTGTGTGTATGTAGAAATATAATGAAATTTACAAAGCCACCAAACTCTAAATAGATACTTACTTGTGTTTGGTTGCTGAAGGAGTTCTCACAGTTTAACCGTTGAAACCTCATAGAATCATTATTGGATGTTTTATCAAGTGAAACTGATTTTGCCTGACAGTTGGTTGCCTGGGATGCGGAGAAATGATGAAATGTTTGATAGAAGTTGTGTTAACTGTGTCTTTGGGACTGGAGGGCATTTTGTTCAGATTGGAATTAGAACATACTGAATAAAAAGGTGTATTGTGAAGAAAAGAGTTTAACCTGTATAGCTGTTATCATCTTTAAACAAGGGTAGCAGTTGTGTGCTAAAATTCCATGTTGAAAGAGAACTCCACTAGCAGGTCTGAGAATCTGCTCGTGTATAAGACTCAGTTGTAATCATAATTTGGGTCAGAGGTGAAAGTAGTCACAGGTATTTGTATGTAATTCAGGTAAAAGAGCACAAATGCTTCCTCATGCTTTTATTTTCTCAAGTAATTTATTTCATACTGGATTATTGAGTTTCAAATTTATTGCGCTTGGACCAAAATTATCTTTAGTGGCAAAGGTAGTTTAGTTTTAAAGTGAAAAATAAAGGATTTTTCACAGTAAGTTTTGGGTTTTCTTTTCCGTTTATAAGAATAATTTGAACTCACCACAAGATTGGCTTCCAGATTTTCCAGAACAGCATCTGTAAATAAAAAACCTCAAATAGATGTTGTGAGAGAAATCTGAAGTTTGAACTTTGATCATTTTCTATTACTTTTTTTTTAATCACAGATAATTTCTTTCATTTTAGCACAGACTGGTTTATTATATTAATTAGCTAGTTTTCCCCTAGACAATATGCCAATTGAAGACGAATTTAAAGGTCTAAGAGTTCCTAGTATGTGTATGGAATGCAATGCTTAAATTTTTAAGACTTCATTTTTACTCTGTCTTTAATTTTGGATAGTATTAATTTTCTTTCCTTGCTTATTTCAGGCTGGTTTGTTCATTGATAAGGGTGTTAAAACAACTAATGCTAGTGCTGATGATCCCAGAGAATATCTTTGTTTGGACAACAATGCAAGGTAAAGGATATTTTCTTTCAAGTGAGTGAAAAATGGCATAGTTTTGAGACTGCTCTTAGATTCATATGGGGAAAAACCCTTTTAATACAATAAAAAAATTATAATTTATAACCGAACCGGAAGTTAATATATATGTTCTTTTCCGTCATTTATTCATATGTTTTGGGAACAGCAGAGGTAGTGTCTCTTAAAGGATTTGGGTTTCTTCTGAGCTTTTGCTCAGGGTAGTTTCTGTCCTCTTGAAAGACATTGTTTTAAGCATGCTCTACTGTTGTGCTTAAAATGTTTGCTGGAGTTGCTGCTAATAGGAAAAAATTCCTTTAAAATCTGATCTTCTGATTTATAAATGAGTTTTAACTAATTGTTAGAAAAAGGTTCAGTAGTGCATCCGTTTACCTTTCCTACTGCTGAACGTTTCTGCTGTTCCTTCGAGACTTGGAAGTAATAGCTTGGTAGTACTGAAGGCTCTTTGCAGAGGTGGTACAATCAACCACATTTTCTTCAGTTTAGAAAGTGAGAAAAAGTAATGAAAAGTCTAGGAAAGTTCCAGGTTATAGTGTGCCTGGTTAGTCTTGTCCTGAGCTTCAAATAAAATAGCCTGGGATGGTGGTTAAATGAATATTGGATATTGTCCAATATTGCCAGTATCTTTGTGTCAACTAAGTGTTAGCACTGAAAATATGGTTCATAGATTATTGTCAATTGACCTGTGTTTAAGACAAGGACAGTTAAGTTTCTGCTGCTCCAATGTAACCCTTGTGGTTTGCCTCAGTCGTAACAGGTAATCAGGAGGAACTCGAGAGCTCTCTGAGAGCCTCTAGGTGTTGAGCATGCAAGAAACTCAGTGCATGAAAGGGGATCATGTTTCACAGCAGAGAAAAAAAAGGAATGAGGCGCTGCATAACTATGTGAGGTCCTTAATCATTGAACATGGAACTGAGCTGGAGGGATTTAAATGTTAATTGAGAAGACTGAGAGTGTCAAAACCTAACATTTACCTGTGTTCCCCTTTCTCCCTTGGATGGGGAGGGGGTAGATCCAAATTTGAACAAAAGAGTATTAAGTGATTGGGATAACAGACATAGGTATCTTTACATACTCAAAATACCTCCTGGCAAGTTTTTAAAATATATTACTTTTTGTCTGGGGTCCTGGGGATAATCAAGTGAAAATGTCACTGGCTCTTAGTCAGACTGTTTATTCCTACAATTTAAACTAGATTCCAGTCATAATTTGCTGTACAAGACCATCTAGGTAGCAATGCAATAAAAAGGTTTCAGGCATGCCCAAAGAAGAAGCACTGCTGTACGTCAGAAGAGTTTGAAACATTTGAAGGACCAGTTAGACAAATGTCCAGACTACTCTTGCATAACTAATGTCAGCCCTATATGTCCTTCCAACAAGCTTATAATTCCCTTCGTCAAATTTTCACATTAGTGCTTTGCTACAAGTGGGGAGGGCAGAAAGAAAAAGGGGATAAAGGGAAGCTAAAGGCAGCTAAGGAAACTTAGAGAGACTGAGCAAGAGCCTGTGAGAGTTACTGGAAAAGAGATATTTCACATTCCTGCTTCATTGTACCCCAAAGACACTTTGCTAGTTCTAGAGAGCCAGAGATGTATCTGCTTTTAGCTTCTTTCACTCCAAACATGAAGCAGAGTGGAATCTGCCCATCAGATGAGTGTTTATCTTTCAGGTTTACTCAGTGCAACATATATGGCACATGTGAAGTAAAAAATTTTCTTGTACTATACTGTTTTTCTCTCCCAGGTTTCGACCTCATCAAGATGCAGACCCTGAAAAGCCCCGAGTTGCTGCCCTGATTGACAGATTAATCTCTTTCAAAAACAATGATCATGGAGCCTGGGTCAGGGGAGGAGATATCCTCATTCAGAACTCTGGGTAGGTATTTGGAAGCAAACAGCTGCATGCTGTTAAGAAGTTTTCCCTGAAGCTTTGTTTATGAAAGTGCATTACAACAGGGTTATAGAAGAGGAGTGATGGTTAACTTTAGGAACTTCTCAGTATGACTAGCTTTCATACCATCCCACAACTTCAAATATGCAAATTTATATATGATTAGATGTGCAAAAACCAACTGTAGTAAAAAGAAGCCTAAGAGTTGGTAGAGACGTAAATTCAGACTGACATTTCTGTTGTCTCCCTGAAGCCCTCTAAAATGTGTAGAAAATTATGTTACAAATTTTTAACAACAATGCTTTTAGAAAAGTTAACTGTGTGATGGTTCTAAGTTCCATTAATAGAAAAAGTCGAGATTTTTTGAGTGCATAGCAGGATATGCTCTGACATTAGCCAGTTGCAGAATAATTCAGAAAAAACAGCTGATGTTTTGGACTTTCTTGTAGGTTTGCCGACAATGGAATAGGTTTGACATTTGCTAGGTGAGTACTTTGTTAGTAATTTTTATGTTTCGTTGCATAGAAGTTTAGAAAATCTACATGCCTCTATTAAAATTAATAGGTATACTTTCATAAGGCTGCAGTTTTGGTTAGGGGCCTGGTTGTATTTCCAGTCGTGCAGATAATGTTATAGAGGCTGTAAACTGGCACAGCTGTCAGTTTCCACTTTAGTTCAGCCTGTGCTTGGTTTGCACCACAGTTTGCTGCCTTTACCAGAAAAGTTATATTTATTCAGTAGTGTATGATTTCTTAAGCAGTATTTTATTTTCCTCCTGAACAGCTGAAAGTGAGTAATGGAAAAGAAAGAGGGTAAGCATTTAACAGGGTAGAGTCTCTTTCTAATGAAAAATATCAAGTAACTTAGGTAGTGAGCTGAAATTACTGCTATTTAGATTATGACAAACTGGTTCTAGGGTTAGAAAAGTGGGCTGTAAATAAAAAGGTGCTGCACTACCAAGGGAGTTAGAAATTTTAATTGGCTGATCATTTCAGTGAGTTAGCCTCTATTAATGTAATGATTAAATCTGTTGTTTTCTGTATTGTACATGAAGTCTCTACTTGAGGAGGGCTGTTACAGAAGTAAAAGTAGTGCTATGCCTTTGTATAATGATGTGCTGGAGAGTCTTGGCTAAAGACTTATCTCTGATGTGCTTTGATAGCGACGGGAGCTTCCCAAATGATGAAGGTGCCAGCCAGGAGGTATCAGAGTCACTCTTCATAGGTGAGAGCAAGAATTATGGGTTTCAAGGTGGACAAAATAAATATGTGGGAACTGGAGGAATAGACAACAAGACGCGCACTCTGCCTAGAAATCGGTAAGTATGTCATGAACCAAGTAGAAATACAAGAAAAATTCTCTGTATCAGATGTAAAGAACCTTCTTAGGTGAGCTATCAGGGGATTACGACCCCACTGGAAGGGATGCTCTCTTTTTCTTTCTAATTCTATGTGTGCAGCTGTGTCACTCTCACCTTTTTGCTGAAGCAGGTTCATCTGATGCTTCCACAAGTTACTATGCTGTAGCAGTTTAAGTTACCCTAGTTAAATGAAGCCTTAGACTTAAAAAGTATTTAGGTCTAGAAGAGAGCTTTCAGGTAAAAGAATTTCAAAGGTCAGTTTGGAACTAGAGACTGTCTGTGACAAATCTCAGTCTGTGTCCATGATCCTTCTCTTTTCTCTTTGACTTGCACTGATGCTTGTTTAACATAGTACCAAGTCCTATCCTTGCCACAGAATAAGAAAGAAGACTGTTTTGATTTAAGCCCAGCTGGAAATTGAGCCCCATGTAACCACTCCCCTTTCCCCACCTCCTCAGGTGAGAAAGACAAAAGACAGAAATCTTGAGCTGAAACAGTGTACTGGAAACAATGAGATTAAGAATATTAACAGTAATAGCAACAATATTAATAACAGAAGTATACAAAAAAAAGCGATTTATGTACAAAAAAATTGCTCACCATTCAACCTGGCACTGATTGGCTTGCAAGATGAAGAACAAGATGCCCAAGAGACCATCAGCATCCCAAAGTACTCTCCTGGTGGACAGATCATCTAGTCAGGATCAGTGTTATCTCACTGCTTCCCCAGAAGAAGGAGCGTTGTCCCTTCAGGAAGCAAGAGAGTCCCTTTCCTCCACCTCCTGGCCATGATGTAAGATGGTATCAAATAGCACAATGTCTTGGCCATGCCCACATGGCTCCAGGTTCTGTCCTCACACATCTTTGGCCAAGTAGGACAAAGGGTGAAGTGGGTCCCAGCCACCCTAGTTTTTTGCTGTAAAGCCATTTAAAGGGGAGATGTTAATGTGGTGGTGATCTGAGGTATTCAGTCTTGTTGAGTGGAATCACATAACTGAGGCTGGAAGGGGTCTCTGGAGATATTCTTGTCCAGCTCTGCTGGCAAGAACTGTCACATAGGGCTCATGTTCCAGGACAACATTCAGGTGTCTTTATACATCTCCAAGGGTAGATTCTCCACAGCTTTCCTGGGCAACCTGTGCCAGTGTTCAGTCACTCTCTCAGTGAAAAAGTTTCTCCTGTTGTTTAGCAGGGGCCTCCTATTTTTCATCTGGTGTGCCTTGCTCCTGGTCTTGTTATTGGGAGTAGCCTGACTCCATGTTCTTTGCACCTTCCCTTCAGATAGATGTTGAGATTACTACCTGAGGCTTTTCTGTTCCAGGCTCAACATGTCTCCCAGAGTTTCTCCCCATGAGAGATGCTCCAGGGACTTAATCATCTTTGTGGCCCTTTGCTGCACTTTCCAGTATCTCCATATCTTCCTTGTACTGGGGTCAAGTGCTCTATGTGTCACTTCACCAGTGCTGAAAAAATGCGAAGTATCACTTCCCTCAATTTGCTGCTAACACTTTTCAGAGGGCAGCTCTGGATACCTTTTGCTTCTTTATGTCAAGGACACATTGTTTGGCTAATCTGACTTTCTCTAGGACCCATAGGTCCTTTTCACTGACAAAAGGGTTGTTGCTCCCAGTGTGCAAGACCTTACATTCCCCCATGTTAAACTTCAGTTCCCATCCACCCATTTCTCCATCCTGTTAGGGTCTGTCTGGGGGGTGACAGAGGCACAACTTTCTGCTGCATCAGCTGCTTCCTTCTGTGTTGTGCCCTCTGCAGACTTGGCCCATAGACTATACTTGGCCTAATCATCCAGATCACTGATGAAGATAATGAACAAGACTCAATATTGACCCTTGGGGTACATCACCAGTTACTGGTCTCCAAGTAGACTTTGTGCCATCACTTTCTGGGTCCTTTCATCCTGCCCATACTTCATGAGGATCTTATGGGACAGTGTCAAAAGTCTTACTGCAGTTTTGGTAGACTGTGCCCGCTGCTCTACCAGGCCAGTCATTTCATCACAGAAGTTTATCAGCTTCTCCTCTGTGAATCCATGCTGATTATTGAGGACTTTCCAGTCCTTCAGGACCTGGAAATGGTTTCTAGCATAAGCTGCTCCGTCATCTTCCTGGGCATCAAGCTAAGCCTTATCAGCCTGCCATTCTCTGCGTGTTCCTTCCTCAAGTTAGAAGTAATGTTTGCTTTCCTACAGTCTGCAGTCACTTCCAGTTGCCAATCAATTAAAGAGCAGGTGGTATTAGTTTTCTCCTGTATTCCTCATACTGAAAAAGGGGCACATTTGCAAATCGATAATGATATCTCTGCTAATAGGAAAATTTAGGAGTAGGGGACTTTTTGACTCAGTAGAGAAGCACAGAAACCATATTTCCTTTACTAAAATCTATCCTGTAAGTCATTCTCTAATTGTTACTTTATTGATTTCTCTGAGAGGAAATGTATTTGACACAGATTTAAGCATATAATGAGTTTCATTGCAGGATGGTATAAATATTTGCTTGCATCAACAGGACATTTCCAATTAGAGGCTTTCAAATTTATGATGGACCTATTCACCTTACCAAGTGCACATTTAAAAACTTCGTGCCAACTCCAGACAGATTTACCAGTGCAGTTGGATTTTTGATGAAAAATCCATGGCAGATGACTCCAAAAAATAATATTTCTCTTGTGAAGTTTGGTCCAAACGTAAGTTTATTCCAAGTTTTCCTTAAGTCTTATAAATTATTTTCTTTTCTTGTATTTAACATATGGAGACAAGAGCTGTAAGTCATCTACTTCAGAGTTTATCTCCTGGCTGGAGGTCACACAGAGTGTATCCTTTGTCTCTTGAGTAAAAAAAAACAATACCAACACAGATGTAGGATATGTTAAACTAAATGATTCATGGTTTGTGGTAAAGCTGAAAATAAACTTTTGTAAGATTTTTAAGGTTTGATATATCTTAGTAGCAAGTTTTCTGCAGGTAATATTAACACTCAAAAGCAAGAGCTGGCCTGAGCCTATTATTAAAACCCAGCATGTCTGCTTTACAGGATTCTCTATCTTTGCTGTAAAGTTTTTAATCAGCTTTGTCAAATTCCTCTGTTTCTGCACATGTGCACTGTTAGTCTGTGTTTCATCTCAGGAAAAGCAGAAACTTTTATTGTCATTGTCAGGTTTCTTTGAAAGCCTTCTTTGGAAAGCCTGGTCCCTGGTTTGAAGAAGGAGATCTGGATGGTGACAAGAACTCAATATTTCATGATCTAGATGGTTCAGTGACTGACTACAGGGATACCTATGTGGGCCGAATGGATAATTACTTGATTCAACACCCCAAATGCATTAACATCACAGAATGGAGTGGAGTGGTTTGCAGTGGGAGCTATGCACAGGCTAGTACTTTTGGCTTTCTGTTTGGGGCAAATGTATAATATGAACTACTTGTGGAGTCAGGTAGTATAAGAAATAATACAAAATTACCTGTCTTAGGGTTTCAAAACTTTTTGGCTTTAAAAAATACTTCTATTCATATCACACTTTTCAGTCAGTTGTGTATATATCATGATTGCTCTCAGCAGACTGAGGGTACAGTATCAGATGCTGCAAGGTAAAACTAAATGTGTTTGCTGAGAGTTCTGTGTTGCGGCTGTATCTGCTAGAACATTCCTGCATTGAAGGTGTCTTCTTCCACACAAGTTCTCACTTCTTTTTTTCACAGAGTGGATTTTAAAGGGTTGCTTTGTTGTTTTGTTTTCTGGAGATGTTAAATGCCACCTTCTGAATTTAAGTCTTACAGGTTTGATTCTCATTCTAGTTCCTTCTCTGTGTGGCCAGGTGTTAAAGCTGTTTTTTTTTATTCCTCTATACACTTTTTTATCTGCAAAACAGGAAAAATCTGTGATAGTTTTTTAAATAGGACTTTCATTCAGGAGAGATTTGTGTATTGCATAACTAAGAACACCAAATTGCAGCATTTTGGTTAATAATGTACTGATTGTGTTTTGCTATTTCCTATTCTTTTGCAAAGAGACCAAATCTTCCTATTTCACCTTCTTAAATATCATATAGGTTTATGTCCAAACCTGGAATGGACAGAATCTTTCCATGACTATTGTCCGAGATGAGTATCCTGCCTATCCCATGGTTCTTCGAGGTATTAACCAGAGAGCAGCTGCCTTTCAGCAATACCAGCCAGTGGTGATGCTCCAAAAGGGCTATACAATACATTGGAATGGAAAAGCTCCAAACGTCACCTATCTGTATCTCATTAACTTCAACAAGTATGTTTACTTTCTTTCGTGGCTTTGATCCATAAGGCAATACTGAGGTTATATCCTGCAAAATTACTGTGCATGAGTTTGCAGTCATCTAGAAGACCAGAGCTTGGATTTGGTTGTTTTTTTCGTAATTGCAAATAGTAAAGTATGAAAAGTAAGGGATTAAACAACAGACTACACCTGAAGTTAAACACTTATCCAGTACAGTGTCTTTAAGAAAAATCTGTTGGAAAAGAATATGTACCAATAGAGAAGTTGAGCAGAATTGCAGTTGAATAGCTTATCATACTTGATTTTGTTGGCAGCTAAACTTATAAATATTTCTTATTAAATAAGTATATAATAAAATATATCCTGAGACAATCAGTTACTAAAATTTTTAATGAAAGACTGTGCAGATTTGATCATGTGTTTGAGGGTTTAGGAGCTTTTTTGTGTTCCTGGCTTTTTTTTTTTTTTAATTTTTTTTTTTTTTAATTTTTTTTTTTTTTGTGTGTGTGTGTGTGATGTGTTTGCTCTGTATTGACGCCTAAACTCCTCCTATGTGGACTCATCCATTTTATTTTGGTTTTAGGAATGACTGGATTCGTGTTGGTCTTTGTTACCAACCAAAGACAGATTTTCTTATAGTACTGGAAACCTTTCAAAGGCGGTCATCTGCTCTGTCAAGCAAGGTGGAGCGCTACCTGCCTGTATCTTCAATGATGGAGCTTGAAAAGAATCGATCAGACAAGAGGTTTTACTTTGACAACAGTACTGGGTAACTCTTGTCATTTGACTCTACTAGAAGATACTGTTTAACCTTGAAATGTCCAGTTTGATAGTATTAAAAGCAACTGGTTGAGACACCTGTATAAGAGGAAAACTGTTGAGAAGGACCCCAAAACCCTTTGGAAGAATGCTTATATGTATTTAAATCTCCAAACTACCATGGTTGTTGTAATTGAAATACTTTTTAAGAGCACCACAGTCACCAAAGATATTTCCTACCCCATGTCTGGGGAGAGTATAGTATCTGATGTGCTGCAGAGCAGTGCCTTTTAGGATTTAATTTCTTAGTCTTCAAAATTAATTCGCGAAATTATCTGTTTTCTTAGTAAACTGAAAATTCTAGAAATTTCCAAGAAGCTTTCTCTTTCAAAATTTAAAAATTAATTTTTGAAAATCCTAATCTGTTTTCAGCTGTCTCAAAAGAACCTAAAAGTCCTAATCTCTCTTTCAAAGGTACTTCTCACAGAAGTACCACTAAGATCCTTCTGAGAGGTTTTAGATACAGTCGACTTTCAATAAATTAAGTCCCATGAACATCAGTTGAGAGTTTTGCAAACGTTGATCTGAATTTAAAATTTCTTCTCTTATTTATTTTGTTGTGTTACCTGCTACTGTGCCTGTCTGTAATAAATACACAAATGATTGTAGTTTTTGAACAGACATGTATGTTGCTTTGTGTAAGAGCTGCTCTGATAACAGTCTAAAATGTAATAGAAGAACTACCAGTCTTCTGTGAACTTGATTGACCACTACATCATAAATTGCATTTCCGGGCATTTGAAGCAGCACAACTGTATTGTTCAGTGCTGGTGGGTGAAACTGAATATTTCTGCAAAGATCTATGACCAAGGAAAAAATTCATGCTCTGCAATTCGGTTTTTGTTTCCTGCAAGCCACTGATCTGAAGGCTGGTTCTTCTCTGCAAAGCATCTACATTTATTCTGATGTCCCCTTTAATTGTGGGGAATTTTAGATAAGTTAGAGATTTCCTAACTCTAGTGAACTGTAAAAAACTTTGTAACCTTTGTAGTGGTGCAGAAGTGAATACTGTAGTTTGTCTGCTATTGAAAATCATTAAATATAGCTGTTAAGAGATTGAATATAAATACCTATTTTTCACCTGTTAATTTTGATTATTTTTCCCCTTTTATTGTAGATTACTGTTTTTATTTCTTCAAGCCAAATATAATAGGGATGGTCACAGTTATTGCTCATCTCAGGGATGTGAAAGGATCAAGATTGTGACCAAAGAATCATCCAAAGGGATAAGTAATTGCATGGCAAAAGCTTACCCAAAGTACTACCAAGTACCAACCGCCATAAAGCAGATGCCAGAAAAAACTACTGTACCATGTAGAAAATGTGGTACAACTCAGGTAAAATAAACAAAAATTTCATGCACTGTAGAATTCGTGATGCTGTCTACTCAATTTAACTTCAAATTTCAGTCTTTCAGCACAGAATACTGCACTTATTAAATTTCAGTGGTCAGCTTGTTAATCTTCTTTGACTCCTTTAAGGTTTGGAGTCGTTTTATAGCACACTGTTTCAGGGATTTTTTTCTTCTTTTGTGCAACTCTTGCTCCAGGTGCTATAGAAAAGGGACATAGGTGGATTGATGTCTTGCACTGCAGTATTGTCTGTACTACATGGAGAGCTTTGCTGCAGATATCTATGTGGCAAACCTCTCTGTTTGGATCTTTGCTTATTAGCATGAACTTGAAATTGTGTCAGCTATACAAGCTGAGAAAAATATTGCAATTAAGGGATACATAGTGTAGTGTATTTTATCATTATATATATTGGGATTAATAGTACCATAAATAATGCCACTGACAAATGGGTACATTTGCTTTGGAGCATGGACTGTCTCTTGTAAACTGGCATGATAAAGTGTTGAAGAAATATTAATATGTGTACTTAAATATTTTGTTTGATATCCAGATGGTATTCACCAGTGACCCTCACAAAACCTACCTCCTTGTGCAGATTAATTCATCTGATGAAAGAGAGTCAAGCAGAGGTCAGCAAGCATTTATATATGTAAGTATTCTTTATGGTTTTCTTCTTAAATATCACTATAGTAGTTTGCATTATAACAGTTGTACAGCTCCACATAATGCAGACCTCAGTTTTCTTCACTTGGATTAAAAGACTGGTTCATTGTTTTAAAAAAAGTCAAAAAGCTTACGTTTAAAAATTAGAAAACGAGGTTTCAAAGCTCCATTTTTGAATCCTACTTTCTGAAGAAAAAAATGTTCCCATTAGAGTTTGAAATGTTCAGCTTCATGTTTAAATCTGTGTGGATATACATTTATGGCTAGTTTTGGAAATAAACAGAACACATAACCTGACAATTCGTTAGTTGAAATTGTCCTAGTGCAAGCAGATTAGCAAGTTAGTAGGATGGGTCATATAAGCCATTAAAGCTTTACTAAAGTCCTCTAAATGACAATTACTAAAGAATCAGTAGATTTTTGTATTTGTTCTGATATGGCCCAAATAAGCCAAGTGATGTGATACTGTATAAAAAGTAGTTTAGTTTGACTTTCCCATTCAAATGCTGAAGTAGACTTGTATGTGATGGTAAAATACCATTTGCAGAGACTCTCCCACTGCAGATCTTAGTCTGCACATCCCTTACATTCTGCAGTGTCATTGTTGGCCTGGCTGAACCTTCAGTTATCCAGGTAGGCAGATTGCACGTGAGCAGCTTAACCTTTGCAGCTGTAGACTTCTCCAGGAATATGTGTGCCATATGCAAAGCAGTAAGAGCACTCAGTAGGAAGAAACTGGGCTGGAACTAGCCTGCTGCAGGGATCAAGTAACTGTATTACTGTCAAGAAGTTCAGGGGATTCAGTATCTGAGTTACAGCTTCCCAAAGCAGGAGCAATGACTGAGGCAGGTAGTAAGTCACCTGGAAGGTGAAATATTCCTGTAGAATCTACAGGTTGAAGACTCCTATGCAATTTCAGAAGTCTCATTAGCAGTGAACGTTTAATGGGAAGACTGAAGAGATGCTAGGGACGAGCAAGTATTTGTAAGGAAATTACTGTGTCTAAACTAGAGTGAGATTTATTAGCAATGAGTGTAAAATTGCTGTTTGATTCAAATTAATTTCCTTTTCTCTTTCTTCCCATTCAGGTCAATGACACCATGTTTTCCTTCAAGGATAATGGAATACTTATTGTTGTAGTAGATGCCTGCACTGGCACAGTGTTGGGAAACAAATTATTTTCTGGAGTAGACATTAGGCATGTACATGAATATTTAAAATATAGAATTCCACAAAGGTATGTACAATGACCACTCATTTCCAATATGTCCTGCAAGCTGTAGCTCTGCCCTCTGACAAGGATTTAAATAATAATGAATAGATAATGATACACGAGCACTGAAAGTGAACAAAATATATGTCTAAGTTCAGGGAAAAGGAGGAACATAGGAGAAATTTATTGGACAGTGTAGCCTTATTTAAGGAAACTGAGCAGATTTTGAGCTCCTAAAATTTTTCTGGTGTTGCCTTTTTTGTAAAAATAACTTTCTTTAACAAAACATCATGTAATAATGCTGCTTTGCTTAAAACAAGAATATTTTTTTTTGTTTAATAAGGACAGTGGCAAGGACTATGTCAGATATCATACTGTTCTCTCCCTGTAGAGAGAAAATTCTTTATCACGAAATAAAGATAAAGAATTAGTGTCAAAAAATAATCGGCATTTTAATTTTCTAATTTTGGATCAATATCTAAACTTGATTTTTTTGATACCAAATACTAAACTGTGTTTAAATAACACTTTCCCATGATTTTGAAGTTAAATTTAAAGTGAGTTTAAAACCAAGAGATTCTAAGTACTGCTTTCAGAAAGGATTGACTATTCCATGTACTCATAAGGAATTGGACTTTGAGGGCAGCTAGCTGTAAAGATGTGTAGCAAAATATTAAAAATGTGTTTATAACAGAGCTGTGTCTGTGCTGTTCCTGTTGCAGGTCTATCATTCTGCTGGGCACAAGAGGTGATGTAGCAATTCCTAATAATTTAGCTGAAGCCTTTATGTCCCTGGGGTCAGCGAAACCACCTTATCTTCAGAGCAATGGTTGGTGCAAATGTTGCACATTTCTTTGACACCGCCTTGGTCTTTGTGTTTATATTGGCGTGGCGGGTTTCTCATGGGGTGTGTGAGAAGGATGCAGCTGGTGAAGGGTGGTTGCCAGTTTGCACTGGTTTGGCTGCTGTGTGTCAGCCCTTGTGGAGAGAGGAGGTGAGCAGCTCTTCAGCAGATGGGGCAGAAAACTCCTTTATCCCATTGTGTGAAGCTTGTTGCAAACAGAGAAGTAACTAGCAGTTCTTTGTGCCTGTGGATCACACAAGGATTTTTTCCTAAAGCCTGTATTTGATGCCTCACCCGGCAAATCTATCTTTAAGCAAACTCCTGTGCCTGTCTAGTATTTCCTGTTCTAAAAAACCCTTGAAGCTAGAAATGAGAATCTATTGGTATTTTGAGGAATGATGAGTTTATAGGCTGCATGGGGTAGCTCTCATCTGTTCAGAGTGATGGTGCAAGCTGTGCTTGAGAAAGCAGGTTTTATAACTGTCCAATTAGCTGTATTTTAAAATTAAGATTTCAGGGTATTTAATACTAAGGAGAAAGGAAGTTGCAAATTATTATTTCCTTGTATGGTGCTTGGGAGTGGATTAATGTCCTGACTAATGTAGGAGAAGAAATTTTGGGAGAGCATGCCTTTTCCTATGTAACCAGTCGTGTATTGTGCTGCAGTGAGCTTGGCTGGTTTGGTAATGCTGAGTTTTTCTGTCACAGGAAGCTTGGCCTTTCTGGGCTTCAGAGGAAACATTAAACCATCCTGGATTAAGCTCTCTACCAGTCCTGCTGGGCATGGGCTCGTTCAGATAGAAAAGTATATCCCTCTGCAACTGGAAGAGTATGGCTGTGCCAGAGCGATTAAAAGCCTTCGGAAAGACCTCGAGCTTCTGAAGAAGGCTGCACGATCTCATTAAAGACTAAGATGTACATAAAATCTGGGGAAAAAATGTGAACTAACTTATTTTTTAATTTATGGCATTTTAAACTATATTGTTATCCAAGTAAATCACGTTATTGTGTGACAGATGTTTGCCAGCATTGACTGCTTGAATGCCAATCTGTGCACCTTCTAGTTGTACAAAATAATAAAGAATTTATTAGTATTTGTATAAACAGGTTTCAGAGATTTTTCAGATGTTTGTATTTACTGTAAACAAGTTCCTTCTGTTTAATACTCCTTTTGTATGTAAGAGGGTATTCATAAAAGCCTTAAGTTTTTAGTAACATTTAATAAATGGAGTCCATTTTTGGTTACTTGAAAGATTAACATCAATGCCTTCATAAACAGCTTGAATTGATCATTACAACTTAAGCATTTTTTCCTCAGCTGTTTAGGTGTTTCCTTTATCAGTCAGCTCAGTTACATTCTCAGTCTGTTTTCCCATGTGTTAAAATCCAATTTCCCCTAAGCAGGCAGCTGACTCAAGGGATTTTAACTGCAGTAAAAATTTTTGCTTTCCTGTTGTGAAAGATGGCAGGAGGAATTCAAAGATCCAGCCTGGGGCTGGGTGAGGTTTGTGTACCGTTCAGCAGAGTTTTACAAGGCTATGTGTGCAAGCATGGCATGCAGAGCAGGAAATTATTCCTGTTCTTTAGAATCGCTGTTTATTATTCCCTCTAAATACACAGGTGTGTCTGTAAGAGTTACTTTAATAAACAGTCTAGAAGTTAAGGCTGCAGTCTTGAGTACAACTTGACTTCAGCTTAGTCTTTTAAAGCTTTTAGCCAGAAGGGCAAAACTGAGATACTGTTATTCTCAATTTGTTAGGAAATTAGGCTTCTAGAACTCTTGCAGTGCTGGGTTGTTTTTTGTTTTGTTGGTTTTTTGTTAGGTTTTTTTGTTGTTTGGGGTTGGGGTTTTTGTTTTGGGTTTTTTTTGGTTTTGGGTTTTGTTTTTTTTTTTTGTTGTTGTTTTGGGTTGGTTTTGTTTGTCTTTTTGGTGTTGGTTTTTCTTTAATTTTTAGGGCTATCAGCTTTAACTTCTAAGTGAATGGAAAGTACTCTCAATTCATTGATTCATACCTTCTGCCTTAACTTTGATTCCTTTAGTATACTCATGTTAATTCCCGATGACTTTATATTAGGTCCGTTGATTTCATCTGGTGTTGTTGCAATTATTTGGCTATGCCAATAGTGTGAAAATCATGTAGACCAGTGGCATAACTGCCCTTTTTCAGGATCCTCGTCTTTGAAATTAAATTTCAGGGACTGTAAAGATGCATTTCATAATGGGGAACAATAGATGCCATAGGGCTAAAATGTAACCCTAGTTCTAATAAAACTGACATATTTCCTTCTTCTTGTATATGTTCTCATTCACTCAAGCTGGTATAATATATCTACCATTCAGAGATGCTTTGTGCTTTGAATTCAAAATAGAGTGGCTGTTGGAAATTAATTGTATGCCTGTCTTCTCCAAAGATGTTGAAAAACTGTGGGGATTTTTTAAATTTTTTTTTTGTGCTTTAAAGGAGAGGAGGCACAATATCAGATGTATTACTCTGTTCAATTAAAATATGCTACCTCAGTGCTATGATTAAACTGCCTGGTCTAGTATAGTTTCCTAAGTGAGAAGGGGGGGGATAAGGAGTATGACACAAGAGTTGAAGTTAACAAATAGATGACCGATACTATTTTTATTGTAAAATCAAGCCAAATGGATGATTGTGTATTTGCAGTTGTTCTGATGCACAGTTCTCTTGTAATGTTTAAAAGAAGTCATTTTTGTTAGGGGAAGCTGTGATAAATCTTTAAGACTAGCTGTAATGTTTGGTGTTAATACAGGGCAGTGTGATTTAAGTGCTCTGAGTGCAGTAGTGACAGTGTTTGGGGATTAAAATGGCTTTAAGGCTTCTTCTATTCTGTGGGTTATGCTCAGCAGAGAAATAGTGAGGTAGTGACCCTCAGGCTTGTGAAGTTGGCCATTATTTATGATATTCTGCTGTTCTAAGCGTCTTGTAAAAATTGTCCTTCAAGTGTCAAGGGTATTCTGATGTAGGGCTTACTGATGAACAATAGGACCTGAAGTTAAAGTATTTGTCTTTTGCATAAATTTAAATACTTGATAAGTAGCATAAATAAATTTTTACATCTGACAAGAGTAAAATTTTGAGTGTCTTCTGTTCTTATATCAAGTAATTTTGTAATGTGTGCTGTGTGGATAATACAAACTCTTATTTCAACACCAGTTTACTTGTGAAGTTTGTGGAGTATATCCTACTCTTCATTCAAAGACAAGTTAGCAACAGTGGAAAGTAGACACTGATGGTGACTGAAGTTATGGGCCTGTCTTGAAAGCCAGACAAAGTCTCAAAGTCTGTCTGAGCTGCTGAATCTATAGTCCCTTCAGCTCAGGCAAGCAAGGATCAGTGTTGTTACTGACTCAAGGGCATCCTATCCATGTCTTTAACTACATTTTGGGGGAGTAAAGAAGGTGAAGCCAGCCATTCTCAGTGGTGCTCAGTGGCAGAGAAAAAGAGGCACACATTGAAATGCAGGCAGTTCCACAAAAACAGAAGGAAAGTTTTTATTGAGTAGGTGGCCAAGCCCTGAAATTGGTTGCCAGAGCACCTGTGGAGTGTTTTTCTATGGTGGAGCAGATTTAACTGACCCTGCTTTGGGACAGCAAGTGTCCTGGGCTCTCTTCAGTGGTGATTGCCACTACACCCTCTAGAGTGATGCTGTAGTTGTGGGTGGTTAAAGCCACTGGTGTACCTAAGTCTGTTCTTTTCAAGTGCACCAGCTGCTGCAGACTGCACAGGCTGAGCCAAGCACTTCTCATGTCCGAAACTCTGTGAGTCCCCAAACCAGTTCCAAAAGGCAGTGTAATTGCTTCTTCATGCTCAGGCTTTGTATACAAATAGATTGATTTCCATTCTTTCCTCCAATTGTGTTGTCCTTGCAGTAAAGAAACTTTAAAAGAAACGACAAAAAAAGGAAACAAATTCCTTGGAGCCAGTAGCAGATTAAGTGTACTATCAATAAGGCTCTCTCTCTGGCCAAAGGCACCTCTGGAAATCCAGTATATGAGGGATGAGAGAACATTCCCAGAGCCAGGATGATGGCAAGAACATGATGCTTAGGAAAATACAGACTTAATTTTGTGTATTGTGGGACAGCAGTGGCAGCTGAGGCCCCAGATAGCTTCTGACCCAGGCCATGAGTTTCCTGTTCAGGGGAAGTCCTGTGATTTCCTCTGCTTCCACTCAACTCCTTATCACCTTACGTAGGAAGGATGTAGATCTAAGGATAGTCATCCAGCTGTGATTGAAAAGCTCAGTCAGCTGCTCAGTCAGTTTGATGCTATCTGGATCTGTAGCTGCACTGGTCAGTGAAGGTCTTAGTGCTTATTTTGGTTGTATTTGTTTAAGGTAATCCTCATGTGCTGGAATATCTGTGAAAAGCAGCAACTTTTCTACTTCAAAATGTGAGCTTTGCCCAGTCACTATTTTTATATGTCTTCTGGTCGTACTTGTTCTAGCACTTTATGGGAAGGTTTTGACACTTCCTAGAGTTCACAAACATATTTTTCTTTCCTAATGCCTTCTTTTTGTCCTGTGTCTTGGGCTAGTTAGAGCTCTAAAATAATATTCAGTATTGAAGTACATAAGGCCACCTCTGTCTTGAGAAAAAGTATAGTTTTTTAATTGTATAGCTGGGGACTACTGAAATTTTGCAGATTAAATTTGTACTACCAATTGTAACTTGCTAAATAAGACTGGCCACTGACTCGCATGGCTGGGAGTGGTGGAATGGCAAGTCATAGAATTCCCCTTCTATTTTTTTTCCACGATGAAATTCTGGGGAAGAAAAAAAAAAAAAAGTCGTTTTTGGATATAATAGGAAAAATTTTAGACAGACAAGACACTATTACTACTTCCCAGTACCTGAAGGTACAGGATTGCTGGAGAGGGACATTTTATAAGGGAATGTGGTGATAGGACAAGGGGGAATGACTTCAAACTGAAAGAGCGTAGCTTTAGGTAAGATATTAGAAAGAAACTCTGCTGTGAAGGTGGTGAGGCACAGGAACAGGTTACCACAAGATGATGTGGATGCCCTATCCCTGGCATTGTTCAAGGCCAGGCTGGATGGAGCTGTGAGCGATCTGGTCTATAGGGAGGTGTCCCTGCCCATGGCAAGGGGGTTGGAACTGGACAATCCTTAGGCCCCTTCCAACCCAAGCCTTTCTATGGATCTATGAACTCTGGGAGAGGGCAATCTCGGGATCTTCTGAGATCAGTCTAGCCTTTTTGATACATCGTCTTGTGCTCTTAGTCCATAATGAAAAGTACAGAGAAACTTCAGCATTTCTTGAAAGGTTTGAAGCTGTCACATTTGATATTTCTCACATTAGTGAGAAATTGGCTTGGTCGGACCACAGAGAAATTTCAAAGTAATCAATCTGTATAAACTTTCTCCTTAAAGGCAAACTTTAAAACTTTTTCTATTTCTGTTGTATTTACAAGTACAAAGCAGGCTTAGCTGCCTTGCCTGGAGAGTGAATTCTTTGTTTCATCTTATTCCAAGTTGAATAGGTTGACAGCCTGACTTTATATATAGTTTATTCTAAATGGAAAAAAAACCCCAAAAGTGGTATTTCAGGATTATTTTAGTGTGTGCAATTACTCTAACTAGAAAAGTTCTTTGCTAGAACTGCTATAAGCAGCTGGAAACACAACTGTCTCTTTCCATGCAGCATTTCCAGTGACATTTTCAACAGATACCCTAAAGTCAGTTTCAGGGTGTGTTTTGTGTAATTGGTAGCTTTTGGGGATAGATCTCAGATGATATCATCTTTTTAATATCTGTGAAGTTCATGACCAGAAGATGGTTTATTCCATCTGTAGGGTGTGAACCATGATCTAATAATTTTCCTTCAGCTCCGGTGCAAATGACTGGTGTATGTTCATAGTAACAGCAAACAACACTATAGTTATCTGTGGTCTCATTTCTACTTCTGAAAAGTTATTCTATAATGAACATCACTCAGTAGTATATATTGCGCTATTATGCTTTTTAATTGTTTTTAATTGTGTAATATAAATTTCCATATGCTGCATGTTTTGGTTACATTCTTCTATTTAACATTCTTCTATTCTTCTATTTTTCCATCCTGCACTGCAGTGAAATACGAAGTTTAGAAAGTATGAGTATCTATAATCACGTGAATCATAGCAGCATGCACAATTGCCACTGGGTTGATTCTGCTAGCCAGCAGACAAACATACA